TTTATCAGCTTCAAGAGCATTTACAGGCCACATGCTCATACTTGTGGGCACAGTGTGGTAAGGGTGTTTTTACAGCTCTTTTCTGGACCCAGAGTCCTTTGCCCCACATTTGGCCGTGTGTGAAAGACGTTTTGGAACCCAGGTAGAGTCCAAAGAACTGATCCCTGGTCCTCATGAAATAGTGGTCGGGGGTCACTTTGTCAAGTCTTGGTGAGATCTGCAGTGTAAAAGCTATCCGGTCGCAGTTGTGTTCATTGTGTAATGCGATTGGTCCAGTTGATCACATTACTCCCTTTTTCAAATTCCTGTATGAGGACCGAAGGTTTGTGCAGGTATGAAGTTGAAGGCTGAGCCCAACCAGTACCCAGAACTTCACTGGTACACTAAATTTGACACCTGACCCGAACCCTCTTTAGCTCACAATAGGGTGGATTACCACAGACACTCAAGTGCTGGAGTTAAGTGCCAGAAAATGTCATGCTGGAATAAACCAGTAATTAACAGCGTTTAGTATACTTTTGTGGAATCGCTGATAGAATCTGTCAAAGAATCGCATGTACCTTATTTTATATACCATAATATTTGTATTATAGACATTGTGACCCATGGTTCCTCTCATCACCGGTAAAAAAAAATTAAGAAATCCAAGTCTGTACTTTTCCCTAGAATTAACCATTATATGTCAAACCACTATTAATGAATTTGTTCACATCTCAACGATTGAATTATGCAGGATCTTGAAAAAAGGTGACACATGGTATTGAACAACAGACAGAATTCAGAGGACTTTTTCACCTGCGTTTCACCCGAAACGAACCTAGAGTCGGTTCTGGGTGTGGAGCTATTTGCGACAAGTGTGAAAACACCCTGAAACGCTTTCTTGCTCCTATGATGGTACAATTACACTAACATCAACTAACCCATTTTACATGTTCTCCAACATTTAACCAGCATATTAACTGCCAGTATACCAAGCTTTTGATTGGTGGAATGATGGATGGTTGAATTAATACTAAGCGGTGTGTGTATATATGCGAGCATGTGTCTGCTTTTTTATTTTAGTTGCTTTTCCTTTTGAGGTTATTGTATCCCAGGTTTGCTCTGCTTCAGACGGATGCCTCTTAAACTTCATTTTCTTTGACCCGCTCTCAGGGTATCTCTCTCTTCTCTTTTTACTGCCAGACAGCGACACCATTTTTGCCCCGGTTTCTCTGCCTCACGGCCCACGTTAGTATAAGCCCTATTTCTCCTCTTTTTGTCTTTCATTCCCCCCTCTCTCTCACTTCCATCACCATCATTTAACGTCCCCACTCTCGTCAGAGCCATACATTTTTGATTGTAATCCGGTTAAGATGGTTGTTCGGTGAAAAGTCAGATGTAAACAGTTTTCCCTGTATCACAGATGTAGTCGATCAGCTAAAACATTTGGTATAGTTGTGCGCTGGAGCCAAGAGGCTAATGTAGCTAACAAGTACTGGAAGATTATGTACACCAATTAGCAAAATGCTTTGGTAAATGACATTTGTTAGCCTTGCTTATATGATTTCTGACACCGTATGACATACTGTTGGACAAATTTCCTGTCAATAACATCATACAGTCATACAGTGTCTTTAGCTTCCTTCATTTATTTGCAAGCTGAGGGCTCTGACCTACACCCACAGTGCATGCCCAAGCCACAGTGTCCAGTCTGCACGCTGGTGTATGTGTGTCCATGCCTTTCTCCCACTCTTGCTCTTCTCCTGTCTCCACTGTGCTGCTTAGTCAAACAGTTGGTGACGGCAGCTCGTTGGGATCCACTGAATGAATGTTACCAGATGTGCAAGTGTGGCATTGTGTTAATGAAAGGCAGGGTGGGGGGTCTTTATTTAAGGATCATGTGTTAGGTGATGTGTCCATCTGTTTTTCATGCTCTGGTGGTTGGTCAGCTGTAATCAAATGTTTTTCATAATGTAACTCTGTGTCCTCCCTTCTTTCTTTTTGTACTCTCAGGGTCGTCATCAGTGTCCTCTATGGTGAGTTTCCACAGGAGTGCCGAGGACGCCCCTATTCCTCCCCCTGTCCCGCCCCGTCGCCGCCCTGAATCTGCCCCGGCTGAGTCTTCACCCTCAAAGGTAAAACCTCCTGCACATATATGTTCTGTGCAGCCAGCACAGGTTGTGCTATGTGACATGTAGTCAAAATAAATCTTTTTTTTTTTGTTGTTGTTTTTTGTTTTTTTTAAATAACAGCAAGTCATACAGGGTCAGCAGTGACATGGGTCAAGTCCTAGCATCCTTTATCAATTTATAAAAGGATTGACTTCTAAATTTTGTATTCTTGCTAAGAAGTGGCATCAGATGCTTCATTTGTTTGCAGCAAAAGTAGAATGTTTGTTGTATTTCAGTCTAGCTTAGTTGTTGTATTTTGAGCTACTTTTAGATTTGTGATCCTACATTTTAATATTATTGTATGATTTATATTTCTACACTTGGCCCAGGAACTGGTTATATTTTTGTGGAGTATTTCCAAACTTCCAAAATACATCTGGCCTCATATCTAGCAGAAAAACTGACTGCTTCTGCTGTATTTCACGTTCAAAATAAGGCATACTCCCCTGGTCAGCAGCTGCATACAGCACTGACTAGTGGACATTAGTTGACAGTGCAGCCCCCTGTGCCATCCATAGTAGGTATCCAGTCAAGTGGTGTTTGTTTTATTTATTTATTTATTTATTTATTTATTTATTTAAAATTAGTCTGGGCTAAAGTTTATAAATATCTGAACTCAGAATAATTTGATTTTTAAGACATTTGATTCTTTAGTACACAATATAATGTTTTGTTAAATCCCGAACACACTTCCCACACAAGTCAGTCCAAATCTGTTATTTGGTATGATTTCAGAAATGTTTTAAAAAATGCAAAACATACCTAAATGTGAATAGAGAAACTCCTTATACAGTTTTGGAATAAAAACAATAGTTGTTTAAAACCATTTATCTTGAAAATGTGTTTCTGCTTGTAAAATCACCATATATCATTTAGAATGAATGCAAATGAACATAAATACAGTCAAATTTAACAAGATTTTCTTATTTAATTAAAGAAGTTCATATCTAGTTTGAAGAACAAAGGCTGGGTCCAGATCCCTCTTGGACGACCCCAGCCATCACCTGGATTAGTCACATTCTATCATCAGCACACTTGATTTAACATATTAAAGTACTGTTAAGCCAAACCAGGTATTGAATGGTAACTACAAATAATACTGGGCTAATATTTTAGCAAATAAATGAGTGCTGTCTGAGCTTTTTTTATTTATTTATATTTTTTGGCTTCAGCACTTTACGCTATACACTTGACAGGATAGCATGTTCATTTTTTTACATTGACATGCAAAATCACTACTTATTGTTGTGATGTTATATATATTTATAATGTTTGTGGTTTTCTAAGCAAATAAACACTGACATAGTGTTTAAATAGTCATTTTCTCAGGTGTCTAAAACTTTTGCACTGTACTGTACATTTGCATATTATAGCTGATCATAATGATCTCTGACATTGCAAATCACTGCAGATGAAATACCATTTTCAGATTCTTTCTAAAGCGTTTTCTTTCATCGTCCTGCCTTTAGATGATGTCAAAGCACTTGGACAGCCCTCCGGCCATCCCCCCCAGGCAGCCCACTGGCAAGGTCTACTCTCCACGCTATTCTCTCACCGACCGCACTTCAGTATCGGAGCCTCCGGACAGCCCGCCCACACTGCCCCCACGGGAACCTGTCCGAACACCAGACGTTTTCGCCAGCTCCCCACTGCTGCTGCAGCCTCCGCCACAGGGCCGCCGCAGCGAGCAGAGCCACTTCTTCCCCACCTCACCTTTCCCCCCGCCTTTGCCCCCTCAAACGCCCTCTCCGCTGGGCCCTCGCAAGCACCTGCCCTCACCGCCCCTGCTGCCCCTGGACTGCGAGCCGCTGCAGGGGGCGGCAGGCCCCCCTCTACCGCCCCGGCAGAGCACCTCGCAAACGGCCATCCCCAAACTGCCCCCTAAAACCTACAAAAGGGAGCCGGCGCACCCCTCCATGCACCGGGATGGCCCACCGCTTCTGGAGAACGCAAACCCTTCCTAAAGGTGCACGGGCAGGGGGCTGGGAGAGGTAACACTAAAGACTGCAGCAGAACTGTGAGATGATGACAAATAACGAAAGACTCTTGTGAGAGATGCCAGTGTTGTATCTTAAAGACAAAACAAGAAAAATCGACAACAAAAAAACAAAGACGAAACAAAAAATGTGCCCTTAAAACATTCAGAGATGATTGTGTTTTCATAAAGTGCAAACTCTGTTGAGATTACGTAGCCCTCTCAAGGGTCGTCTGTATTTTTTTTTTCTTTGTCTTTCATGTAGCTGTTGCTGTGTGCTGTGTCATTGTCTGATGTTTGTTTTTCATTTAGTTTTGTTGTTTGTTTTTATGTCGCTTCTTTTCAGCAGTACTTGTCCATGAGCAGTACTTGGCCTTCCCCCCCCCCTGCACAGTTTAAGCCAGGACCAGATTTAAGGAAAAAAAAAAACATCACAAATCACGTAACAAAAAGAAACATGCTGGATAACGAAAAGACTGTTCACCGGTTTGAACCAGCTCTGAAAACGACTGGACACAACACGGCACAGTCTTCTCTGCAAGGAAGACGTGATTCGGCGCTAAGTGGGATTGTAAAGACTGTACTCCTGTGCCTGCCAATGGGAGTGGACTTCTGAGGCCAGCACAGTGCTGGACAACCAATAGGACTCCTTCATCAGCCTTTGGGTTCACCGCACCTCATTATGTTTAAAGAAAAAGGGACTGAGAGCGATGCAGACTGATGAACTGTGTTCTGGGCTTTTGTTTTTAGCTTCATGCTAAACTGAAGGGGAGTGGTTTGTGTGCCAGTAGTCTCAAGAGTACCACGAGTCAAAGGTACCCTCCCACACCAAAGAGGTACTTTCAAGCATTCATGAAACACAAAAAAGTGATTGTCCTTTATGTGTTAGAACGTTTATTTTCTGAATCATTTCTGTTTTGCCAATAAGTATGTAAAGACGAAAAAAGAAAAAAGAAAAACGATTGCCTTCTTAAAACAAGGGAATAAAAGTGTTTATACCACTGTACGGTGTGCAAAGTTGTGAAACTATATAGTTGACTGCAGTGCCAGTGCAGTTAAATACAGCCCAGTTTCCAGAGTCTATAGATCATGTGTTGATGGAGTGAAACGTTAAAGGAGAATTTTTCAAACTATCTGTATAATTTAATCATTGAGATATAAAGCAATTCAAAACAGTTTGATGTGAAATTCTGCCTTCTGGAGAAACATACTGACTCAGGTTTGTTTACAGTGGTGGAGATGGGAACCTTGGGCCTTATTTTTAAAATGCATTTTAATTTCGTTCTGAATTTATTTTTCAGAGAAGTTCTCAGAATTTGTATATGACTCATTTATAAAAACAATGTTCACAAATTGTGTACCCTAACCCCTGAAGCGCACTGAAACTGCTGCTCGTACATGAGGCATTCATCTGCATACATTTATAAAAAGTGAAGTTAATGTAAAAATCACCCCTCCATTGAATTTTCACATACGAAGACAGAATCTGTGTGTGTGTGTGTGTGTGTGTGTGTGTGTGTATATATATATATATACATTTTTATAGACTGTTGTACCTTACAACACCCAGCATATATTTCTCCGTCATGAATGGATTAAAAGAACATGTTAGTCTAAAAGCTTCTCAGAACCATCATAAAAAGATGTCTCCAGCATCAGGCAATATATTTCTGACCATTTTATCAACTTAAACTCTTAGGCATTGAACTCTTCATCCATCACCACCACTGTGAACAATTCTTACTTGTTAAGTTTCTCTACAACGGAGTATTTCGCAGCAAACCACTCTCACTCTGTTTACATCATTATTAATGTTAATTATGCAGAAATTTTGAAAAATCGGTGGAGTTCCCCTTTTTAACAGTTTGTAGATGACCTTATGGTAGAGAACAATTTATACGGATGTTTCTCTGTATTTACAAATTTACATCATAGTTAAATTTAGAGTCAGGGCTGAAAGTATTTGGATAGCACTTCTGAATTATTTACTGATTACTGCATTTAAACTGGACAGTCCATCCTTAATATAAAAGTAAGAAGAACAAAAATAACTGGACAAACTTTCTGGCCAATGGGGACGTTGTTTAATGTTTTGCGATTCATTTTATTCTAATGTAATATGAGGCTTGTAAAGGGCAGGATATGATTTTGCAGAACAAGATTATGGTGCTATTTGGGACAGAGCTTTGCTTGCAGTGGAGATGAATTAAGCAAAAGATTTGATTTTATATCACATAGTCAAGCAGGCAACACCTGCTCAGAGTAGAGTAGGTAGTAAAGCTCAAATCATCTGAATTTTATTTGTCTGATCACTGTGTGCCATCAGACAACCCACAGTACGGTGCCAAAGTTACAGGCCACCCCTCATTTATTTAATTTTAAGTCAAAATGCCCATTAAGTACAAGTTATTCATTTGACCAGAGTTTCACTCTGGAGATACAAAGCTAATTGTGGCTAACAAGTAATGGAAGGTTATCACTGTCCAAACCAGCCTGTGTGTGTCTCACTTCATCTTTCATTTCTACACCTATTTACTGTTATACTCAAACTGACATAACATTTATAGTGTTGCAAATATTTATTATAAAGTGGTGAAACAAACATACATAAATTGTACTTAAGCAAGTTTAACATCAGTTTTAACCTTCCCAACTTAAAATATTGTTGAAATTTAACTATAAGGCAACATAACAACAATAATAGCTAAGGTTTATACTCATGTGAACAACCAGCCAAGAAAACACACACATTTTTCCTGTCCTGAGTGTCTAAATCAGTGGACAGTTCCTCTGAGAAAACACTATTTTTGTCAGCAATTACTGGTCACATTCAGAGCAGAGTAGGTAGTAAAGCTTAAATCATCTTAATTTTATTTGTCTGATCAGTGTGTGCCATCAGACAACCTACAGTGCTGTGGCCAAGTCATAGGCCACCCTTCATTTATTTAACTTCAAAATGGCCATTAAGTACAAGTTATTCATTTTTCAGCATCAGCAAAAAAGCAGAAAACCTATATTTAGAGAACGTTACACACGACCCAGCTAAATATAATACCAACACTGTCTGCAATTAGTGTGACCACCCTTGCTTTTATTACTGCTTCCATTCTTTTAAGGATACCTGCTTTCAATAATTCAAAGAAATCTGCAGGGATATTTTTCGACATCTGCAAAGTTCAGTCCTAGTATTTGGTTGAATTTTCTGATTCTCACAATACAAGTAATTCTAGACTCATTCAATAATGTTGAGATCTGGGCTCTTGATCTCCAGTTTTGGAAGCTCCTGTTTTTTCACGTTTTTTCCTTCGACTTTCACATAAAAAAAATGATTGTTCTGACTGAAAAATAAATAAATAAAGGTTGGGCTCTTTTGCACAGTACTGTACCAGCATCCAGTCATCTGCTGAAAAGGCTATACTGTATACTCTACTGGGAAAGATGATGCATATCAAATGTTCTGAAGCAAAAAACCTCAGTGTCTAACTTTCTGCAACTTTGCTAAACAGGCATAAGCAAAGTCCAGTGGACGTTAGATCCAGCACTCCTTTTTGAGGCTTACATTACTTATGAGCTGCTCTCACAGAGAGGGTACAATATGATTTGCTTGGAATGCAAGTCCTACTGTTGGTCCTTTTGTCCTGGGTTGCTTTCCACAAGACTCTGCACTCTGGCCAGAATGATTTCATTGCTGCTGATGCACTGCTCCACTCCATAGGGGGCGCTGATGGTCAGTACGTTAGCCACCTGCAGAACATCTCCCTCATCTGTAACAGGAATGAGGTTTTTCTCCAGCCACGCACGCAGGTTCTCCTTGCGCTCCTTCAGCTCCTTTGCACTAAAAGACTGGCTGCCAGTGGGTGTGAAGAGAGACTTCAGCTTCTTCTCCATTTCCTCATCTCCTTCCCTGAGGACCTGCACCTCCCTCACAGCGTGGCCCAACACCACCTTCACACAGGCACCTCCTTTCTCCTGGAAGGCCACAAGGACAACACTGTGGACAAGAAAAACACTGAATTGTCACTGAGCATGAAATATAGAAAACAACTGTATTTGCAGTAAGAGCAGCTATTAATAATAGCAAAAAAAGATGAAACATGGGCAGAGCCTGCATTCTGTAGGACTTCAACAGGACCTCGTTGGGTCCAGCGAATAGAATACTTAAAGGGTCCATATCATGAAAACTGACTTTTAAACACTTTTAAAAAAAGATTTATATGGTATGTAAACACTGTTATAGTTTTACAATATGTAATTTACTCCATTAGTCATGGAAATTAAACTGTAAAAATATCCATTTTGAATTGTTTTGTGATGCCACAAATAATAATGTGTTTGCATATATCGGTCAGTCAACAGTTAAGCTGCCCATTTAATCCTAAATTATAAAGTGTTTTTCAACCTTTTTGAGAAAAGCACAATGCAGGGCAGCAAGTCAGAACAAGGCTCATTTACATATCATTTCTGTCATGATAACATCTTGCCATCTCTAAAAGATGATCTTTTTTAAAGCAATTTTGGACCATTTCTGTTGGTCCATTCATCATAATATGTTAACACATTGTAAGGGCAGCCAGTGTTGGCAAATTCTGTAATTCTAAAAAAAAGTGAGTGATGTGTGTTTTCTAGTGTTTTCAAACGACAACAGTTGTTCTTGGGCTAAAGTATACTTATGAAGAAACCAAACTGCCTAGTTCCATTTTAGCCATTAACATTTAATTCCTGACTCTTTTTTTCGGGTTTTATTTCCATCTGTTCTGTTGGTTCAACACCCAGACACCTTTGAGTTTTATCATTTTCTGCTACATCAAAATGATCCAAAACAGAATAAATCTTCAGTTTCTATGATGGACGTTCTGTTCCTTTTTTACTCTAGATGTTGTAGTAACTGCTTTTACTTCTACTTGAGTCATTATTTCACTGAAATAACAATTATTTTTAATTGAGTATGGTTTAAGCTATCAGACTTTGCTCCTGACATGCAAGTACTTTAGTAGTGAGTGGCCACAACTGTGACATCACCAACACAAAGCCAAAAGATGTTGCAGCTTTCCACACCACCTTTTTGACTGTGCAGTAATACGTCTTTGTACAAGTCATACTAGCACACACCATGTGTAGTGCTGCTTAACAAGGGGGGTGCTGTGCGATGTTAGTCTCTGTATTTCAGCAGTGGTGGACAGTAGCTGAGTAAATGTAATTCGTTACTGTACTTAAGTAGTTTTTTTGTGTATCTGTACTTTACTTAAGTATTTCCATTTTGGACGACTTTTTACTTTCACTTCACTACATTTCAAAGTCAAATATCTTACTTTTTACTCCACTACATTATGCAAAACCTGTCATTCCTTTTGGCTTATGTGTGTTTAAAAACGTTACATGTCAAAACGAAGGAAGCGTGAAGCAAGAACACCAATCGGGCACAGCGCGCACTTAGGTTTGAGCTTGTTTTGACCTGTTGGACATCCCGACCCAGTGCAAGCATACGGTTCAACATCAGTGCAGCAGCGTAAAAGTTAGGGAGTGTCTATTCAACATAAATGATGAACTAACCCAACTTTGTGTAAATAGACCACAATACAGAAACATGCACACATATGCAGTTGTGACTGACGTGTCTTTTTTCTGAATTTATACAAAAACTTTCATTTTATAGTAAATTTGTTTTTGCTAGTTTATGTTTATGAACAGAGACCTACAGATGTAGTATAGTAAAGGAAAGTCATTTGTGAATCTGAGTTTAAAGTAAGTTTTTTATTAAAGTTAAACTTGTAACTAAGTTGCAAATAAATCTTAAACCGAAACTTTGCTTGTTTGCAAAAGTTATTTCAGAGCCATTTGGTTCTACCTAATGGAAATTGTTTGCCTTCAGTGTTTTGTGCTTATGATAATTTTAATAGACGTCAGCGTCACTAATTAATGACATTCTATTAAAAGACTGGTTTACCAAGAGTGACACTGGAGTATTTTCACCTAAAATGAGTTAATGAAGCAGAGTCTTCTCACAAAAACGGTAACAGGACATTAAAGTCATAATTAATCTTTTAGTACTTTTACTTTTGATACTTAAGTACATTTGAAGGCAAATACTTTTGTACTTTTACTCAAGTGGAGGTCTAAAAGGAGGAAATTCTGCTTTTACTGTAGTAATATTTTACCTTGGGTATATCTACTTTAACTCAAGTACATGGTTTGTGTACTTCGTCCACCACTGTATTTCAGTGTGCATACCTTGCAGACACAGGATCCACGGTGAACACCCAGCCTTCATACTGCTGATTATCGTGCGCTGACACTTTCACCTCGTGGTGCACAATTTTGCGCCACTCCTGCGGCATCATGCTGCACCACCGGTCACTCATCGCTCCTCAACGTACAAGTTAGCAGTCTGAGTTTTCCGAATTAGGCCATAAAATAAACCGTTTAGAATACCAGGAATCGTCCCCTACTTGTGTTATACCAAAATAAAGCTGGAGAGTTGCACCAAATTTCGAATCCTCTCTGCAGGCACCGCTTTGTAAGCTTGAACAATCCAACGCTCACGAACGGTATCATGGGATTTGTAGTTTTGGAGTGCTCTGTGGCCAACTGTAGTCACGCGTACAGAAACTACAAGTGTCGCGGGTGCTTTAACCAGAACTCCGGACTCTAGTTTCCTTTTCGTATCGGGTAGTCGCAGCGCTTATGGTTCCGCTTTGACGAGCCAGCTCGTGACGTTTCGTTTAGGTATAGTGAACGCAGCCGAGTGTGCGATGTCAAGATACGGTCGGCACGGAGGAGGTGAGTCACTCATAAACAGCTGAAGACTGTAAGTCTAAGCGTATTTAAGGGGGAATTCCTGTACTTAGTGGTTCATCATGTTGCGGTCGTATCGCAGAACATGCGGCTCCTGCTCTAATGGCGGCAGCAGCGCGGATCTGTTCTAAGGTTGCTATGATACGCTAAGCTAAGCTAAACTAAGCTAGCTCATTAGCTAGCTCCGTTTGTTTTGGTTCGCCTAAAAAGAAAAATATACATTTTATATACGTGTTTGTAATAAGAGGTAAACACAAACAAAATTAAACATGAAGAATTATTACATGACGTAGAAAGCAGATAGTTTATCGAGTATCTGAACCGGTTAGCTGAGCAACGTAGCTAGCTAACACTGAGGTAACGTCAACGTTAACCTAGCTAGCTTACGTTTCTGAACTGAGTGCATTCGCTGTCAGCAATATCAAATTAGTTTAATAAGTTCTCTGATAATAATGTGTCCCAATGTAATCAACTAGGCAGTACATACACAAAAAGCTAATGTTTAGAAAGTTAAAACGTCGAATTAAGAAGGCTACATTCCAGCCGTTTTGGCGGATATACTCTTGCCTGACAGGTAGCTGTGTGACTAACATTAAGCGCTAACTAGTAAACTGGAGTAACAGCGTTTGGTTGCTGGGTTTAATTGCAGAATCAGTTCAGTTTAGGTTTATGTATCACTTCTTGAAAGAGATGTGGTCACATGCTGCCTTCAAGTCGTGTCGGAAATATCGTATTTACAAGATTGGGGCCACCACAGTGTCGTATTGACTAGTGGGGAACTGAGTTTCCGAGTCCTGGGGATTGTCAGCTAAAAAGCAGTGATGGACTTGCAATTCAGTTTATTCAGCAGCTACACCTGAGCGCTGCAGGCTAAAATCATCCACACACGAAAACACAAATATAGCTGTAAGTTATGTGATGCTTCTAATTTCACAAAATCTTTACTCAACTCATAGGCATGCTCTGCTCTTCACTGTGTTGCAGTAATGCAAAATAAACGGGCTCTCATTAATGGCAGAAAAAAAAGAAGCGCGTCTGTCCTGTATCTAAACAAAACACGAGTGAAGTCGTGCTTACGAGCTCTGGTGTGAGTAGGAACTTTCGAGGTGGACTTGAAGGCAGCAGCAGACCTGCTTTACAGAGTATGTGGATGATTCAAAGAGCAAATTACTGGTGTGATTCATTTAACGTTACACCTGCTGCAAACGCAGAGACCCTTTGAGCCTTTTGAAACGTCCTAGCCAAGATCATGAATTGAACATGATACGCAATATGTAAAATATGTTACTCATGGTTTGAGGTATTTTTGTTGTCAGGTTTTTTTTAGACTCATATTTGGGAAAAGGCCATTCAGCTGTAACACTTGGGCCATACCTTGAGCACCAATAACAGTACAATACCAGGTTTGTGTCTATAGAAATGTTATTACATGGTTACATACAAGCACCCTGTTATTCCATTTATATTGATGCATCTCATGCAGTCAATAAACATCTGAACATGGCATTTTTTTAGTCAGAACAGCAATACAAAACTTAGTGTCTGCCCTGGAGCAAAATCCTGCTAAACATGCTTATGACTCTAGTTCAGGCCTACGGCATGAGCAGCAGATTACTCAGAAAAGCCATTCCCATTATGTACATCGGATTATGTGGAATAGATACAGCTTGACATTTGCATGCAGCTACCAGTCGTGTTTGTTTTACAGTTAGGAGCACGCAAGAAGTCCACTTTGTTAGCTGACCACACACAAGGGGCAGTTGCCAAGGCAGATTTAGGGCTTGTCTTGGGCTGAAGTTAGCTTACATTCTTCAACTTCTACAACTTCTTAATTAATGTACACTTAGATGAACTCATTGGTCATTGGGCTTACGATCAGCATTTTTACCAAAGTTATTCTGTCAAATCATATTGCATTAACTAATCTAAACATCCACAAAAACAAAACTGAGGTTTGAGATTTCTCTTTTACATATTGCAGTATTTCAAAAGCCAGTATCGCGATTGGCGATTAACGGCCAGTATAGAAGTAACTGAACCACAGTGCCATATTTGTTCCTCTCTTTTTACAGAGACTAAAGTTTATGTGGGTAACCTGGGCACTGGTGCAGGGAAAGGCGAGTTAGAGCGGGCATTTGGTTATTACGGGCCGTTGAGAACTGTGTGGATTGCTAGAAACCCTCCAGGGTTCGCCTTTGTGGAGTTTGAAGATCCCAGAGACGCTGAGGATGCCGTCCGTGGCCTCGATGGCAAGTAAGTGGGCGGACACGCCACCATTCCATCTCCTCCACTGTTGCTATGACAGCAGAGGAGTCTTCCACATCACACATCATTCAAAAGCTGAAAGTGGTCAGAGGGTTCCTCATTTACGTTTGCAAATAATCAGTGTTGGTAATTTGCTCTTTGGAAATACTGAAGCGGCTGGATCTGAGCTGACTATGTTGTGAGAGCAGTTGGGCTTATTAGACAAAATAAAATTCAGTAATTTCCCTAAAATGTTTAGCGCAGATTTAAGCCAAGGTTTCACCTTAGATCAATGTGTTTGGGGTGAGTGAGAAAACTACACAAAAGTTTGGAATTACTGTTTTTATTAATATAAAAATCGTTTGGTTGCAGATACAGGTATAAAATGATGGAACATCATAAGTTTCAAACAGTACAAAGCTGTATAAAAGTATCAAGATGTGCCCAGAATGATGAGCAGAGCTATAGATAATTCTAAAACAAAAATAAAAAAATAAACTTATTTCACTCTAAAATAATTCCATCATAACTTTAATCTCCTGAATAACTCACATGTGAAAAGTGGTGACCAAATTTTGACAAAACTGTTATAAATAAATAATTACAGCATATTTCCCCAAAAACATGAAATATTGCCAGAATACTTATTAATTTGTATACCTATTAATTGAATACCTATTAATCTACATTACAAGTTTATACGGAGTAAAATAAGACAAATAAGATGAGTGATTCGAAATTTTTGTGGCAGTGAGATTTTGAGTGGTATTGTTTTGCTCTTCCCTGAGTAAGTTGTGTTCCATTTCTGCAGTCTTACAGTTAGCAGTTATCCACACTGTTTGTCTCCTTTCTCTGTATTTTGTTACTTTCAGAGTGATCTGTGGAACCCGTGTACGTGTGGAATTATCTACAGGAATGCCGCGCCGCTCACGTTACGACCGACCGCCCACCCGCCGTCCCTTTGACCCAAACGACCGTTGCTATGAGTGTGGTGAGAAGGGCCACTATGCATATGACTGTCACCGCTACAGCCGACGCCGCAGGTAAGAGCAGCCAGAAGAACCAGTACCAGTAATTTATGCCTGTCATTACTGTTTTATACTTTGTAAAGTGGCACAGAATCTGATTAGACTATTAGACTTCTATTGTTCAAAACCTGTCAAAACTGTATTTCTGTTGAGTGGAGCGGGACTGTCTTTGTTTCTTTATTGCTGCTCTCTCTGTTTTTTCTCTCCCTGTTTGACTCCTATGTCCTTTATTTTCATTTTCAATATTTATATATATATATATATATATATATTGCTCAAATGTTGTTTGCGATTTTATTTAATGATTCACCTGGTCAAAACCTTTCAGGTTTCATCGTTTGATTCAGAGTGTCACGACCCTTTACGATTTCATGAGGCATCTAGCAAAATTCCACACTTACGGTCACCTGCTTTGACCAGGGCGTGAGCAGCCAGACCCCTCTAAGGCTCCTGCCACTTCTACCTGCAACTAAATGTTTCATACAGGGGCATATAAGCGTGTGCCCACCTTCCGCACCCCAAAAGGGGGGATTGCCAATCTGAGTCAATTTGGCTATCAATTTGGGCCCACGCTTTTGCTAATGAGAGCATCGAGACTTCGTCCAGACCACGGTTCCGTCTAGAAAAAGCACACTTCTATCAAGTCTCAATCAAGCGATTTGGCTGTCAGTGCGATCATCGTTAGAAAGCGAAGAAAACGACTAGATGCAGAGGTCGGCTGATGATAGATACTTCTAGACCGCCTAGATCTGCTAGACCTCGGTTCCAAAGAGGGTCGACCTGCAAACTTGCAAGGTTTATTTTAAGTACCAATTAATGTGTCTCTTTTTTTATTTTGCATTTTCTTTACCTAAAATCAGTCAAAGAGCGTAAGGAGTAATGTAGCATAGTCTCTATCCTTCTTGTTTTGGTTAAGCTTAAGAAAGACCTGCTTTATGCAGAGAGATCCTGTAGAGATTTAATTGTTGTAACTAACGTAATGCTAAAGTGAAATACTGTACTGTTTTTGTCGTTCATATACTGCTGAGGCTGAGAAGCATCTTGTAAGCTGAAGTAGTAGGAGCTGCAGGGACAGATTCAGAAATAATGCAGAAATAATGTTAATGTCTTAGTTACTAGTGACTGCAGATCTTGCTCTAAAGATTTTTTTTTTTTCCTTCCCCTACCATCCATACTTCCATCTCTTCTGGCTGCTGGCAGGTCTCGCTCTCGCTCGCGCTCTCGCGGGAGGAGGTATTCTCGCTCACGCAGCCGAAGCAGGGGCAGGAGGTGAGTGCGTGTATTATAGAGTGCATTTAAAAACAGTAATACATGCTGTCCTCATGCTGTGACATTGTCATATAGTTTATGCAAATGGTTTGTTTTATTTTTAATCAATAATTCTACTTCAATGGGCTGAACTTCATGCCCGCTTTCAAAAACACCTCTGTTCACCCCACCCCACAAGATTGGTGTGATTGAATTAT